GAGGATGCGGCTATCATTCAAAAACTAATTTACTTAACTTATTTAGAAGTATTGGAAGAAGAAAATACTTTGCTTGATTTTGGGGAAGAATGACAAGCCTGATTAGGAGGTCCTGTTTTAGAAACAGTTTTTTCTGCGATGACAAAAAAGTGAGATGAAAATTATGAAAATATTTTCACAGGGATTCCGTCTTTGGAAGAAAGACAAAAAGATCAGAGCATAGATATTTCCAAGCATTGTGAAATTTGAACGAAATATTACTTCGAATGCGAAAAACAAAAAGCTCAATATAAAATTGCTGAAGAAAGCCAAAATCAACCATGAGAATTAGCCCGAAACAAAGTTAAAAACTACTTAGAAAATGAAAAAATAGAACTATCTGATATTAAAAGTTTTGTTTATCGAAAGCAAGCAGCCGTTAGAAGAGCCAAACAGTAAAAACAGTAATATGTATATTGGGCTTAGTAAGTTTTTTCGAATTCATGATGGAAGTTGATGCATCCATTTACCAAAATTAAACTTTACTGATGCTCTTTTTAAAAAAAATCTTCACGCTTTTCGATTAGCTTTACTATAAACTTTAACCAAAACTTGGGAAGAAATTCTAGCAAGTCCCCATTGTCATCATCTTGAAAAAATCAAAGATCGAGAAAAATTGGCTAGTGATTATTTACGACTAAGCAATAAAGAAATTGACCAAATAAAAAACATTAACTCGATTTATCAAATTGCTCTGGATGAAAAAGATAAGTTTAGAGTTTATGGCATCAAGCGAAAATTTCGTGAAGAAGACTATTTTGAAATCTTACTTTTTGATCCTAATCATCTTTTTCATCTTAACAAGAAAAAAGGTAAATATCCTTACGGAGGAGAAGCGGTTTGTTTAATGATCTGTCTAGGTAAAGAAAAAGAAAAAACATGCTCTTGAATTAACGAAGAACCGGAAAGATAAAAACTTTTGATAAGGAACGAGCAGCAAGAAAAAAAGTCGAAGAATAAAAACTAATTATTTAGTTTAATTGTTTTTTCTTTATTATCTTATTCGGTTTCAATTCATTTTAATATTCTCTCAATCAATTCAGGAAGTGTTTTTTCAATTTCTTGAATTTCTCTGCTGGTAAATCTTTGTAAAACTCAATCTTTTCAAAGAATTTCTTGCTTAGAACCAATGCCAATTTTTAGTCTTTGAAACTTTTGTGTCCTCAGGCATTCAA